AAAAAAAAAAGAAAGAAAAAGAAAATAGAACACACAGTAAGTCCAGTGCAACCAGCATCATAGCACAAATAATGAATTAAGACCTAAAGAATCTTCTTCTGAGGCGGTCGTTTGCAAAGGAACACAATGCTCCCAAACCCCTGGCAGCCTAACAGAATACCCTGCAGATCTTGGCAAAGGTCTTTCTCTTTCAGCGATCTGGGAAGTACAAGGAACACACCCTATAAAGATCCTAGAACAGGCGGTATATCTGATGCAATTAAAAAAAAAATCACATCAGAAACCACCAATTAAGAGTCAAATTTTACTCACACGTGGAGATCACCAGCACAGCAGCTGCCATGTTCCCACATCCTGGAGGGGAATGAGCTATGGAAGCCCAGGTGCACATTCAACAGTTAAAGGGTCCCAGACATAAAACAGAGCCCTCTCTCAGGGACAGACTATGGCCCCACCCTCAAAGGCACTCATTGGATGGTTTCAAATGATAGGCAGCGAAACTACCTACTCGGTCCATACCTGTAACTGCAATCTCCACCCATATTTCAAACTCTGCTAATTAAACCTGCTTAATTCTCTTGATATGGGAAGCCTCTATTTTACTTTTAACAGGCCCTCAGTAGCCAGATACACTACACAGGCCTTTTACTTACACCACGGCTTCTGTTTTAACACTTCTGATTTAGGAAATCTGGTTCACCCAGTTCATCCATACCCAGCTCAACTGTATCCTCCTCCAGAAAGACCTCTAGATTACTACTTGCAACCTTCTTAGGAGATGCGAGTTCATCTTTGCTGTTGAGCAACACGTGAGAGACATTAGAGCTGGGGTATAGCAGAATGAGGTGGGCTTTATGATCAGATAGCATCAAGATCAGCCTGATGCAGTGGGCCAAGGCATGCCCACCGAATGCAGGAAGCCAGTGAAGGCTGTCGTAATTGTAGGAAGGCCAGTGGATTTCAACAAGTTAGCTCCTACCAGCCTTGCTGCTCACCCTGTAATATCATAGCCCACAGTAGCTGTGGGCAAAATAGCCTCTAGGTTTTGCAAGCAGAAGTTTGAACAGCAACGTCAATTTAGTAACACTTAGATCCCAACTTTAAGTCTGTAAGACAGAAGAGACAGATAAACGGCTTAATGTGTAGTGCTTAGAACACAGCTGTAATAATCCAAATGTCTGTTCCTGGTGGATTAGCTTCCTAAATCATAGCTCATAAGTGACATGAGGATGAGGGAAATGAACAGAAAGGCCGGGCTGAAAGTGTACAAACTTCCATACAGATAAGAGGACTTAGTATTTGAAGATCTACCCTACACAAAATAAGTACACATATGAGGTGAGGAATATTGTAATAAGCTTGAAGCAATCTGTACAGAATGCATACATATACAAAACATCATGCTGTACCCAATAACTACATATAATTATCACTTATCATTTGAAAAAGGAACATTTTCCATATGTAATGACCTCATTTTCAAACACAAAAAATGCTTATACCTGAGTTCTTTCCCAGCTAGAGCTTTGTGGTAACACTTGGACAAATAAGCGGAGGGGGGCAGAAGAGTCGTCA